TGCTCGAACCACGGTCCACCGAAGAACTATCCATGGAAGCAGAATCCTCATCCCCAGCTCACTTGGTGCATTTCGGACCACGCCTCTTCGAACCAAAGCCCAACTTCGACCGCTACCACTTTGGACTTGAAGAGTGATTCGGCTTGAGGCTTCCTTCCCCAAAGAGCCCAAGTCCTTGGTCAAGCCCATCTCCCTTTCGGCCCATTCGAATGGGTCCATCATTTGGTCTAGATGCATCCGAGTGCTAGATAAGGAAAGTGTCTTTATTATGATTGGATCTTATCTTTTGTTTTAGGAATAATTGTGTTAGAATCTTTGATTGTGCCAATCACGGATTGTGATTATCCCTTGATTGATTCGAACCCTTGGCTTATAAAAGGGACCTTGGATCACTTGGAGAAATCATCCAGAAATCGCCTCTCTCATTTCTCCTCTCATTCCGCCGTCGGTTCTCCCTCTTATACGAACCATCGGCGTCCCTTGGTCCCATTTCAATTCTTAATAAAGTCTTTCACTTCTTTTGGTTCATTTGGTTCATCTTTGTTCTCTCGTTTCACCCTTTTGGTTCTCGAACGCAGCTCGTGCTTGCCGAGGAATTCTGCACAGGCTTGCACGCCTTGTCCGAGAATTCCTGCACACGACCGTATCGAGAACTCATTTCGTCCGAGAAACTTCGATCGCCAAAGTCCCAACGTCTGTTCTAGAGTTTCCCGTCCAGCCGAGAACTCTCTCTAGACCCGTCGCGCTTGACTCGCACACTTGTCCGGGAAATCTCGGCCAAGTCTGCTCGTTCCACCCGAGGAACTCAGCCCATCACAGGCCAAGGTTCAGCCCATCCCGTTGCGGCCCAGACTAGCCAAGATCCTAGTCTCGGTCCTCCCGACGAATCCCGGACTTTTCCCAACAGTCCGAGGTTCCCGGTCCGCACAGTCCGCCATATTCCGCACTCTTACGCAGTTGTACGACGTCGATATGAGTGGGTCAACTGGGACTAGTGAATGCGAAGGTGAGACGGAAGATGAGAGGACAGAGGGGAGAGAGTCCTCGAAAGACGAATCCGAGAGTCTAGAAAAAGGAAAATGTGACCTAAAGAAGGTGACATGTCGTGAGGAATAAACACGAGATGTCAACACGTCTAGACATAGGAATGCATGTTGGGTGAGTGAATAGCTGACAAACACACAAGGCTTTGACCGAGGTTCAAGTTTATGGTGAGAGTAAGGTCTAAGCCACGGGAAACACAAACAACCAAATGTACGAAGTTTTAAGTAATTCGGTGTAGAGCCAAAAAGAGCATGATACGGTGATTTGAAATCGAGGACCTTAGTAGGAAGACGATTAATGAGATAAACGGCAACCGGAAACGCAAAAGTCCAATATGAGAGAGGAATCGAGGCGTGAGAGAGAAGCGTGAGCCCCGTCTCCACAACGTGCCTATGTTTGCGTTCCGAGATTCCGTTATGCTCGGGTGTATGAGGTGGAGTGGTAAGGTGAGTGATGCCGTGAGTACTAAGAAAGGAACGAAGTGCAATGTATTCACCCCCGTTATCAAAGTAGAGAGTTTGAATTCGGTGATTAAAACGGTTCTCAACCAAAGACTTGAAGCGAGGAAAGATTTCAGATACTTTTGATTTGCGTTGAAGAGGATATAACCATGTATAGCGGGTGAAATGATCAACGAAAATAACATAGTATTTAAAACCGTCAAAAGAAGCTACGGGAGATGACCAAACATCCAAAAACACAATCTCAAGTGGTCGAGAAGAAGTAAGCGAGGAGAATGAAAATGGGAGCTTATGACTCTTATTAACCGAACAAGGTTCACATATCAAATCATTGGTTTTATTAGAAGACAACGACAACGAAAATAGTTGAATGGCCTTATTAAGAACATCCGAGGATGGGTGGCCTAATCTAGAATGCCAAACAAAAAAAGAAGTCTTAAAAGCGGCTAAAGTACGAGGGGAAAGAGACGACACGGGAGAGGAAGTCGGTGGCCACTCATAGATGCCATCTTTAAGCCGACCTTTGGTTATTACCGCCCCCGTTTCGAGATCCTTCACCTGAAAAGACAAGGGGTAAAATTCAATCGAAACGCAATTAGTGGTGCAAAGCTGATGAACAGAGACAAGATTTTTATGGAGAGATGGTACACAAAGAACATTATTAAGGGTAATAAGCCGAGAAGAAAAAGGGAGAGAAAGGGAACCCGTGTGTGTGATCGAATGATTCGATCCATCACCAAGCTCTACTTCGTCACCACCGGAATAAGGCACATGGAGGGAGAGATTGCGCAAGTCAGAGGTGATGTGATGTGTAGGTCCGGAATCAAGAAGCCAGATCGGAGGAGACGCTGCAGCCGAGAGGGCGGTGTTGTGAGCCCGAGGTTGCCACGACATCGGAGAGGAAGTACCAGAGGAAGGCGGTGCAGTGTTGATGGTCGAAGCTTGAAGTAAATGACAGCGTTTAGCGCTATAGCCATGAGTGCCACACAGCTGGCACTTGCCCTGATATTCGGAGGAGCGACGACGCGACCGAGAGTCTGAGGATTGCCGAGACTGGGACTGAGATTGCCACGGAGGTCTGGACGAAAAACCGTGAGGGCGAGTCTGGGTGTTATGCGCCGAGATGGGCATCACCGAGGGAAGAGGTTCCGTCGCAAGAAGTACCGACTCATGGTTGAGAAGGTGTTCGTGAAGCTCAACGAGCGAAATAGGCTGATCACGGGCATTGATTGCATCCTTGACAGGCCGATATTCATCCACGAGGCCAGAAAATATCATGTCAACAAGGTCCTCAGGGTCAAGGGGTTTCCCGAGTAGAGCAAGGTCGTCATCCTTGGTCTTGAAGAAATACATGAATTCATCGATCGATTTCCCTCCTTTGGTGAAGCGCTTCATATGATCTTTGATTTGCTTGATGTGGCCTCGACTCGACCGACCGTATGTGGAAGCAAGGGTGTTCCACGCATCACTGATGGTGGTTGCTCGAGCGATAAGAGCTTGGCACGAGGTGGAGATCGATCCAAGAAGAGCGGAGAATATAAGTCGATCCTGCCGGAACCAGGATCCAAAGGCTGGATTGGTTTGAACAGCATTGTTCACCATGACCGTTGGCGAGACATTGTTGGTGGCGTCGAGGAAGGCTTCAAGGTTGTATCCTTGAAGGAGAGAGCGGATCTGGAGGGACCAGGTGAGATAATTCGAAGCGGAGAGCTTGGACACATTAGTCACGTTGATGTTGATCAACAGAGATGTCGGATTGGTCGGATCGTAGGGAAGGACAGTGTCGTTGGAGGCTGGAGTGCCGGAGGAACCAGCAGAGGTGTTGGCGGCGGTCGACATGATTGAAAGGAGAAAGATCGGCAAGAGAAAGCAGCGCTGGAAAAAAAAATTGGTGTCACGAGACTAAAGCTCTGATACCATATGCTATTGTGAAAGAATAGGGTTTTCTGTATATTCATATTATGGTGTACATGTAGCAATATATACACGAGAGAGAGGAAGCAAATGAGGAAACAAAATGTGCTAAATAACATGAATAGATTGATACGAATATTAACAATTTCCATTAGTACATACGTACATACAATGATACAAATGATATGACTTTCGAAACATAACGGTCGATGAAATGGAGTTTTTAAGCGCCATAGTGATTGAGAGTGACCAGTGCGAGACCTTGTTCGGTAGATATATGTTTGATATATAAGGACCTTTCTCACAAATTTTGGGTCCATAAGCATATTTTAAATCAATAAAAAATTATTAATTTATATATTTAAAAATAACAATATTTGAATAAAATTAAAAAATCAAATATTGCATTGTTTAAAAAAAAAACATTTGTAAATGATATAGATATATTTGATTTAGTATAATATACAAATGAACGACTACACTATATGTTAATCAGTTCTAATAAATGTTTTTTTAAATATGTTTTATAGCAATAATTAGTTTTAATAAATGCTTTTTTATAAGGATTATAATATGTTTTAGTTTTAGTCTTTCAAAATAAATGTTTAATATGGATATCGACTAACTCTAGCATATATATATATATATATGTGTGTGTGTGTGTGTGTGAAGTTTTCTAACTAAGGATAGATATGACAAGAGAAAATAAAAACCCAATTCAAAGTAAACATTTTCCAATGATTAATACCGAAACTTGTTAAATAAATTGTATTTGTTTTTTATATGTCAACACTTTTTCACAAGACGCGCTTGCGTGATTCCACACACATCCCGATTTTTTATTTAATTAAATAAAATCAGCTAAAGAAATTTCTCCTTTTTTTTTCAAAATTCAGTAGCTATATATGTGTGTATATGTATATATATATATATATATATATTTATATATGTATATATGGATTGAGTACCCTTGGACGCGACATATAGAGTATTATTTTCCAGGGTTCTCATACAAAGCGAATGATTTTTTCTATATAATACCTATATATCTATATTTGCTTTGGTCAACTTGGGAGCGTTTAGAGTTTACCTGGTCAACGGATCCATTCTCATGCAAATCCATTTCAGTTATTACTATATATACTTTCACATATTTCACGTTATATTGTATAATTATAACTTTCATTCCGATATGAATATATATATATACACACACTTTCCTAATGGGATAATTCTTGTATAAAGAGGATAGGCTTGTAACATGAATGAATCCAACTAATATAACCATAATACACATGCCAGAGGATTATATTCAAACCCCGATATATATACATATACATATATATATATATATTGTTTTATTGCATTGCTAAATTCTAAGTCAATCATGAACAAGTCCATGCATAGCCATTTGCATTTTATTTAATCAAATATAAAGGCGTTATCATGGAAATACTTTGGAAGCAGTCCAATCCAAATACACCTGAGCATAGTTACCGTGCGCTTATAAATACTCCCCTTCACACACATTCCTCATCATCAACTCCTATACATACACAAACACACACATATATCATCACAATGGCCAAAACCATCCTCTTCCTCCTCCTCGCCATCCTCTCCTCGGCCACGGCCACCACCCGAAACCACCATGGCCACGGAGACAAGCTAACGCGTTTCCATTTCTACATACACGACATCCCGGTCGCGGCCAAGCCCACGGCCGTGGAAGTGGCCGGAGCTCCATCCTTCAACAAATCACCCGTCCGCTTCTCGAGAGTCTCGGTCGTGGACGACCCGATAACCGAGACACCTGATCCGAAATCCAGGATCTTAGGTCGGGTCCAGGGGCTGTACGCCTTCTCGTCGCAGACGGAGGCCTCGTTGTCGGTGTTCTTGAACATAGTGTTCACGGACAAGAAGTACAATGGGAGTCAGATCAATTTCTTAGGACAGGACCCGTTGGGTTTGAAGGTGAGGGAGATGCCGATCGTGGGTGGAACAGGAGCTTTCAGATTCGCTAAAGGTTACGTCGAGTTCAGGACTTTGCAGTTCGATCCCTCGACCGGCAATGCCATTTTGGACACCAACGTTTATGTTGTTCGCTCCGGTTACTTCTGATCATCATACATATATATATATATATATATATATATGTATGTATATATGTATGCATGTTTTCTCTTTGTGGTATGTTTTTGGTGATTGTATGATGCAATTGGCTCGTCTTGTTTACAGACTGTTATTATATGTATGGAACGTTATACGTTGTCAGAATTTATTTTTATGTATGTGTATGGATGTTCTTTTATGGAAGATGAAATATGTAGTTTTGAGATTTTATCTATCTTGTTTAAAATAACTTAATTATTACAAAAGACATAATATCAAATATTTTGATTTTGTATATATCTTATACATATATATTATAGGTGAAAGAAACAGCCACAAACAGTATTTGTATATTATAAGATCCGAAGATGTGTCTGTAATATTGATATGTGTGTTTCTGTTGTTAGATCTGACTTGGATTTCTGAGCCTATAAGCTTCCATCATCTTTCGTCGTCGTCGTTTATGTTTAAATATACAAACTGAAATTTGGGTAAATAAAATATATAAATTTAGCATTTCCTAACCTTTTTTTTTTCCAGTGTGACACTACAAAAAAAAAAAAAAAAAAAAAAAAACGCCTTCTCCGTATACAGATCAGGAAATATAAAATTATAAATGAATCAACAATAATGATACAATATGAAAATGGTGGGCTCATCTAACGGTTAGGCCCAAGCCCATTATAGATTCAGCACATCATAAAACCCATTGAATAAAAGGCAATTATAAATATTACCCCGAAAGTCCAGAAAATATTTAAAAGGCCCAGATTGAGGAGGTATCCTCGGTTTAAATTAGTTTTCCATATGGGTAATGATAATATATAAACATTATATATATATATATATATATCACTATTATATCATGGTGGATTTTTATACTCTCTTTTTTTTTGGAAATCAATGAGGGGTTTTTTTTTAAAAAAAAAAAGAAAGAAAATTGACCAGAAGCGGAGACATATCACATAATCTAGAGCAAAGTCCCCCACATTGTTAATGCAACATCTGAAAAGATGCCTCTCTCTCTCTCTCTCTCTCTCTCTCTCTCTCTCTCTCTCTCTCAATGGTGGTCCATCGAAAACAAGCCCATTTCAGTTTCAGACAATAATTATAAATCCACCAAAAATATTTTTCTTTAGGACTCCCAAGAGCTATACATACATACATACATACATACATACATATGTGCACAGTTTGTGTTTGTACATGCGATCGTACATTTTATATGTGCTCGTCCATATATGTATATGTGTTGGATCTATTTAATTATCCTTTTTTATTGACGGACATGAAGAGCCCATCCCTCTTCCTCTCCTTTTTTTTTTTTTTTTGTGGACATCGAGTCATACACCAAATTAAGACAATCTCTACGCATACTCATCATCATGCGTTCAATCCCATATGCTGCTTTCTTGTAGCTTCACATTGTCTTATATCGTATCCATCAAATCTTTTCACCCGACTAATCCTTAGGGCCATATATATATAAATCTCCGACCAACAAAACATTATTATTTTTTCTTTCAAAGATTTTTCAAACTATAGTTAAAGAGTTATGAGATCTTCTTTATGTGTGTGTATATATGTCTCCTTAAATTGAACCATGATATCATCGTTTCCTTTGTTCTCGATATATGTATATATATAATGTTCACTGAATTTGCGATATCCATAATCAAGAATATGAAATAATGGAAGAATATCTTCTTAGAATCTGTTTGAATATGTTTGTTACGTTATTTCCTGATCTCATGCTTCTGCAATTCTTTAATCATAACACAACCCTTGATGTTGTACATGTACACATATGGCTGTATCTTTTCATATCAATACACAGAAAAATATTCTTCCAATTGTGGTTTATGGTATCAGAGCCGTAAGTCTCACGACAACCGCCGCCGCCGAACATGTGTCTTCCTCCGACGGAACAACCACCACGTCTCCCTCTGATGGATCGCCGGTCACCACCGACAACGTGACTCCGTACACGCCCGTCAATCCCACTGCTCCGCTCATCAATGTTAACGTCACCAACGTTAGCAAGTTTTTGTCGAACAACTATATATCACTTGGAGTCTGCAAATCCGCTCTCTCTTTCAAGGATATAACCTTGAAAGTTTCCTGGACAAATCTCAAACCATCTCTCCGACAATCACCGAGAACAACACTACCAAAACCAACCCAGCATTTGCATCATGGTTTTGCCAAGACCGATTGGCATTCTCTGCTCTCCTTGGCTCGATCTCACCGTCGTATCAAGCCCTTGTTGCTCGAGCAACGTCCACCAGTGAGGCATGGGACACACTTGCCTCCACATACGGTCGATCTAGCCGTGGCCACATCAAGCAAATCAAGGAGAATTTGCGCAGGTTTGCGAAAGGCAGTAGGACTGTTGATGACTACATGCATCACTTTAAAATCAAGGCTGATGAGTTGGCTCTTCTCGGTAAGCTACCGGTGACGGCGCACAACACCCAGACACGGAACCAAGGAACTCCTTCATGTCCGCCTTGGCACAACAACCCGAAGCGGCAATATGAACCTGCACAGCAACGAAGCCGGAGACCCTACTTAGGGAAGTGTCAATTATGCGGAACTCAAGGCCATAGTGCCAAGAGGTGTCACTTGCTGCATTCCTCGACTGAATCCAAAACTGGTGCTGTGTCTGGTCACTTCTCAGGATCTCCCGACGCCTCAAACTGGCATGTCTGTGCTCATCACACCATTATCTCTCCGCCATCACCTTCACCGACATGGCTGCTGGACTCTGGAGCCAGTCATCACATCACATCAGACATTGGCAACATCTCCCTACATTCTCCTTACTCGGGCGACGATGATGTAGAGCTTGGAGACAGATCCACCCATCCAATCACCCACACCGGTTTCGTTTCTCTAAACTCTACCTCTCGATCACTTTCTTTGACCAACGTGCTATGTGTACCTTCTTTACGACGCAACCTTATTTCCCTTCATCAACTATGTACCTCTAACCAAGTATCTGTTGAATTCTTCCCTTTTTACTTTCAGGTGAAGGATCTTGACACAGGGGCGTGTCTTACAACCGGACATCTAAATAACGGAGTATATGAGTGGCCGACTTTACCTTCTCCTGTCTCTCAAAACCCCCCTTTCCATTGTTTTTCGTCAATAAAAACCACTCTATCTGAGTGGCATTCTAGGTTAGGACATCCATCGTTTGATGTTTTGAATAAGGTTGTGAGTCAATTCTCTCTTCCGTTATCTACAAAGTGTTCTAAAGACTTGTCTTGCGAGTCATGTTCTATCAATAAAAGCCACAAACTTCCATTTACAGTGTCCTCACTCACATCTTCTCATCCTCTTGAAATCATCTTTTCGGATGTTTGGACGTCGCCCGTCATCTCCCTTTGACGGGTACAAGTACTATGTCATTTTCGTTGATCATCAAACACGTTATACATGGTTATATCCGATACAACGCAAATCCCAAGTCCTAGACGTCTTCCCTAGATTCAAAGCCTTGGTCGAAAAATGTTTTGGTCTAAGACTAAAGATCCTTTACTCCGATAATAGGGGCAAATATATCGCTCTTCGTACCTTTCTCTCGACCAATGGTATTACCCATCTCACCACACCCCCGCATACACCTGAACATAATGGGATATCGGAGCGCAAGCACCGTCACATTATGGAAACGGGTTTATCGCTTCTCTCACACGCAACATTCCTCTTGTCTATTGGACATTTGCCTTTCCTGCAGCCGTTTACCTAATCAATCGACTCCCGACAAAAGTTCTCGACCACTATTCACCGTACCAAAAGCTTTTTTCGATTGACCCAAACTATCACAAATTACGAACCTTCGGTTGCCTTTGCTTTCCGTGGTTACGACCTTATTCCCACCATAAACTCGACCCTAGATCCACATCATGTGTCTTTGTCGGATATTCTTTAACACAAAGTTCATTTCTCTATCTTGATCCGACAACACATCGAGTTTATTCGTCGCGCCATGTCACTTTTTTTGAATCCACATTCCCATTTTCTAAACTTTCGACAACCAAACCCCCGGATGACCCATCGCTGTCCGATGTGTCACCCCCATGTACCATCGTCCCAAGTCGAACACTCATCTCTCCGCACTTGATGTCAGCGCCCTCGTCGACAGTCCCTTCACCGGTGCCAGCAGATTCACCATCGGCCAGCCCTCAACAAACCATGACAACAGAAACTGACCCAGCCGAGCCAGCTCCACCCTTGCCACACCCAGACACTGTGCCCGAGCCCACACCAACCACACAACAACTCCATACACAACCATCACCTGTACCGTCTCCACCACGAAACCATCACCCAATGACAACCCGATCGAAAAATAATATCTCCAAGCCATCCACTAAATTCGCCAATAACCTTACCACCGCGACCACCTCGGACCTTGAACCATCCACCATCTCTCAAGCTCTTAAATCACCTCGATGGAGACTAGATATGACGGAGGAGTTTGATGCTCTTGTGAAGAATAGAACTTGGGAACTTGTTCCCGCAAGTTCTTCCCAAAAAATTGTTGGTTGCAAATGGGTGTTTAAAACTAAACGAAATGCTGATGGTTCTTTTGACATGTCCAAGGCTCGACTTGTAGCAAAGGGTTTCCATCAAAGACCCGGGATTGACTACCATGACACCTTTAGCCCGGTGGTCAAGCCTGCTACGGTGCGGCTCGTGTTGAGCATTGTCATCACTCACGGTTGGATTCTCCGTCAACTATACGTTAACAATGCATTCCTTCAAGGGAGACTACATGACGACGTCTTCATGACATAACCTCCGGGTTTCATTGATCGAGACAGACCGATCCATGTGTGCAAATTGCACAAGGCGCTATATGGGCTCAAATAAGCTCCTCGAGCTTGGTACACGGAGCTTCGAACATATCTCCTATCCGCCGGCTTTATGAACTCCATGGCGGACACGTCCTTGTTTGTTCTTCGGGAAGGAAAGCTCATAATATATCTCTTTGTCTATGT